ATGAGGAAAGGGGTCCTGGCAAGGGTGGTGCAAACTGGCAGCTCAGGGGCAGTGTACAGGGCAGCCCCTGGTCAGCTTCACCATTGCTGCCATGAGCAAATAGCAGGTGGCGTGGGAGACAGAAGTCTTAGTCCCAGGACTGCTAACTCTTCAAAGTTTTCAAGAGAAGACAGAAATCCAAATTTATGTGCACTGTCTCAACCTTAAATGTTAGCAACTAATTTTAAAAATCACTGTGTAGAGCCAACTGAAATATCTCAGGCAAGAGAGGGGAGAAGTTGTTCAACATTCCTACATTCAATATTTTTGAGGCCTTACTCTGTGCCAGGTGTCAGATGTCAAAGAGAAAGTGGTTCAGGAGATAACATGTCTGTGCCCTGGTGGCTGGAACTTACTTTCTAGAAGAGTTTAAAGTCCAAGCCCTGGGCCCTGGCCAGTGTGCTTCAGTTGGTTGGACATCATCCTGTGCACTGAAAGATTGCCGGTTCGATTCCCAGAGGGAACACATACCCAAGTTTTGAGCTGATCCTGGTAGAGAGTGTGCAGGAGGCAGACAATTGATGTTTCTCTCTCTCTCTCTTCTTCCCTCCCTCTCCAAAAACCAATTTTTAAAATTTTTATAAAAAGGTGAAGCCCTGGCCAGTCCCCTGTATGCAAATAACATTCTCCTTTATCTCTGGGGTAAGAGCCCCAGAAAGCAGACTGGTTGGGGTGAGATTAAGATTTATGCTCATCATACCCATTAGGATGCTTATAATAATGGTATTTTTTAAATGTTTTTATTGATTTAGAGAGAGAGAGAGAAAAGGAGAGAGAGAGAGAAAAGAGAGAGAGAGAGAGAGAGAGAGAGAAACATCCAGGTGAGAGAGAAATATCAATCGGCTGCCTCCTGTATGCCCCCCACTGGGGATTTGGCCCACAACCTGGGCAAATGCCCTGACTGGGAATCAAACCGGGACCTCTCAGTCCATGGGACAACACTCAATCCACTGAGCCACACTGGCTGGGCAATAATGGTATTTTCTTTCTTTCTTTTTTCCTTTTTGAGAATTTTTCCATTTTTATTTTCAGACATCGGGGAGGGAGGGACAGAGAGAGAGAGAAACATCGATGTGAGAGAGACACATCGATTGGCCACCTCACACACGACCCCAACCAGGGCTGGGGACCAAACCACAACTGAGGTATGTGCCCTTGACCGGAATCGAACCCGTGACTCTTTGGTCTGCAGGCCAATGCTCTAACAACTAAGCCAAACTGGTCAGGGCAATAATGGTTTGTTTATTTATTTTTTATCCTCACTCGAGAACATTTTTAAATTTATCTTCAGATAGAGTGGTGGGGGGGGGGAGGTGGGAGGAAGAGAGGGTGGGAGAGGAAGAGAGAGAGAAACATCGATGTGAGAGAGACATATCGAGTGGTTGCCACCCACATGACCCCAACCAGGGACAAACTGCAACCGAGGTACGTGCCCTTAGTGGGAACCAAACCCGGGCCTCTCTCTGGTCTGTGGGCGGACGCTCTAACTGCTGAACCAAACCGGCCAGGGCAATGATGGTATTTTTAAAAGGAAAATAGTGAGTGCTGGTGAGAAAGTGGAGAAATTGGAACCCTTATACATTGCTGATGGGACTGTAAAATGGTGGGAAAAAATTTGGCAATTCCTCAGAAAGTTAAACATGGAATTAGTATATGACCCAGCAATTTCAATCCTATTTATTTACCCAAGAGAACTGAAAACAGGTGCTCAAACAAATACATGTACATGTATGTTCATAGCAACGTTATTCACAATAGCCAAAGGGTGGAAACCATGCAAATTTCCATCCACAGGTGAATGAATAAGCAAAATGTGGTATTCACATACAATGAAATATTATTCAGCCATAAAACAGAATAAACTACTGATACATGCTACAATGTGGATGAACTTTGAAACATTATGCTAAGTGAAAGAAGCCAGGCTTGGCAGGTGTGGCTCAGTAGTTGAGTGTCGACCCATGCATCAAGAGGTCACCGGTTCGATTCTTGGTCAGGGCACATGCCCAGGTTGTGGGCCAAATCTCCAGTGGGGGCCATGCAGGAGGTGGTCAATCGATGTTCTCTCTCATCGATGTTTCAATCTCTCTGTCCCTCTCCCTTCCTCTCTCTCTAAAATCAATAAAGAAAAAAAAAAATTAGACAAAAAAAAGAAAGAAGCCAGACACCAAAGGTCATCTATTGTATAATTCCGTTTATGTGAAGTGTCCAAAATAAAGTAATCCGTAGATACCAAAAGCAGGTTGGGGGTGCCCAAGGGCTAGGGGTGGAAGGCATGGGAGTAACTGCTTAATGGGTATGGTGTTTCCTTTTGAGGAGATGAAAATGTTTTGGAACTACATAAAGGTAGTAATTGCATAACATTGTGAATGTACTAAATGCCACTGATTTGTTCACTTTAAAATAGTTAATTTTATAATGTTATATAAATTTCACCTAAAAATATTACTACATAAAAGTGCTTTGATAGGATGGTTAAACGAAATATGGTACACTCAAACAGTGGAATATTATGCAGCCATAAAAAATTCAAGGACATTTTAATGACATGGAAAAATGCTTACAATGTAATGCTAAGTGAATAGGTAGGATACAAATTGTGCATGCGGCATTTTACTGATTATTTTAAATGAAAAGTACACAGAAAAGAAGACTACATGAAAATAAACTAAAATGTTTGTTGTCCAACTTTTTAAAAATTATGATTCCATGGTTTGAGTGTCTACTGAGTGTCAGGGATAGTGAAAGAGGTAGATGAAGATCTTTGACCTTCTGCAGGTGAGAACAGGGAACTTTGGACAGTGGCCCTGGGTCTAGAGAGAGCTGGGAGGTCAGCAGAGCTAGATTCTCCTCTCTTCTCTGGTCCAGACTCACCTGGTGACCCTTCCTGGCCTCAGTCCTCCTCTCCCACAAATAGAGAGAGCCATAGGTACCCCTTCTGGAGATCCATCCATCCAGCATCTTGGTGTTTTCCCCAAGAATCACCCACCCATGTGCCCAAGGCCACACATTCAGGATAGTCCCAGCACTATTGTTTGTTGTAGTGAATACCTGAAACAACCTGAATGGTCATCAACAGGGAAATGAGACACTCCACTTACAAGGAATGAACTAGGCCTTGCTGGTATGGCTCAGTGGTTGAGCATCAACCCATGCACCAGGAGGTAGTCAGTTTGATTCCCCGTCAGGACACATGCCCAGGTTGTGGGCCCGATCCCCAGTGGGGGTATGCAGGAGGTGGCCAATCAGTGTTCTTTCTCACTGATGTTTCGATCTCTCTCTCCCTCTCCCTTCCTCTATAAAATCAATAAAGAAAAAAAAATTTTTTTAAAGGAAAGAACTAGACCTCTTTTTCTAATCCTAGCTAGACCCCGGCAACTTAATGATAAGAAGGGGAAGAAAAAAGGAAATTGCAGAAGAATCTTACAGTTAGATAGCACTTATGTAGATCTTTATAATACATTTATAAAGGCATGGACTGGAAGGACTGTAATTCATGACAGTGGTGACCTCTAGGGAGGGAGAGAACCAGGACTGAGAGGAATACAAGATGAAGAGATTTCAATTTTATCTCTTACTTTTAGAAATTTCATTTTTTAAAAATCTGAAACAAACAACAAAATGCTAACATTTGTTCATTCTCAGTGGTGGGTCTCTGGGGTATTTACTCTATTATTCTTTTCACTTTTTCTGTATTTTAATCCCCATTTCCCACTCCCCAAAGGACAGTGAAGAGAAAGCCATGAGATAAGGGAACTGCTATTTACTGAGGCCTGCCAGCCACAGGTTGCACCAGTGGTTCTCAGAGCGCTGTCCCTAGATCAGCAGCATCAGCTTCCCCAGGGAATGCATTAGAAATGCAAATTCTTGAGGTCCTGCTTCAGAACTACTGAATCAGAAACTCTGAGGTCAGGGCCTAGAAATCTGTGTTTCAATGAGTCTTCTAGGTGATTCTGATGTACCACTAAAGTTGAGAACCACTGGGCTAGACCATAATGGCTATGACAGTAGTTAGCATGTTTTAAGCATGTAAACCTGCCTAGTAATGCTCTAACAGCTTTCCATCAGTAACTCAATCTAATCTTCAAAACAACCCCGCGAGGGAGCCATTACTGTTGTCATCCCCATCCTATAGTTCTGGAAAAGGAGGCAGGAAAGGCCAAGTCTTCTGCCCGGAGTCCTGCTGGCAGGTTGCTCCCAGAGGCCCCTTCCATAACCAGGACACTAAACTGTCTTCACCTACAGTACCTCTGTCATACTCCAGCTCTCTGCAGCCCTGGAAGAAAGAATTAATAGCCCCATTTGACTGATGAGGAAACTGAAATTCAGAGATGAGAGTGACCTTCCCTTGGTCACTCTGATCAAGGAAGAAAGTGAAGAGGCAGATAACCTTCAGTCAGTCCATGAGGTTTTGGGGTTTGACCTAGACCTGGGAGGGATCAGGACCCAGTGAAGGAGGAGGAGGAGGAGGAGGAGGAGGAGGCAGCTGCAGTACCGCTTGGGTGTGGCTCACTTGTCACGCCTATGACCAGCTGTCCCCTTCCCCAGGACCGCTGCCAACCCGCTGTGACCCATTACCCACCCCCACTAGGAACCTAAGGGCTGGCTCCCCACTCGCCCGCCCCCCAACCCCCGGGCTTCACGAAGCCCCATTTCTTCCTTCTCGTTTTTTAATTTTTTTCTTTTGCAGAAGGGGAACCTGGACGGCCAAGAGAAGCGGCAGCTCCAGCATAAAGGCACTCGGCCCAAGCTCCCCCTCTGCACCAACTTTCCCAGGGTGGCAGCTGAGGAACGCCCCCAGGTCTGCCCCTCATCCCACGGCCCGTCTGCCGCTCCCCAGACGGTCCTTTCCTGCTGCCCTGCAGCCTGCCCTGCCCACCAACCAGGTTCCCTCCTCAGCCCAAAGACTCGGGCCCCCCTCCCGGGCCAGTGTCCTCCGTGCCCCCGTCCGCGGCACTCACCTGGGCGCCCGCTCCTCCTCCTGCGGGCAGCCCGGATCCTCGCAGCTAGTGCGTGCCCCCAGCTCAGCAGCCCCCGGGGTCCCGGGGCACCCGTACCGAAGGAAAACGGACTGACTTTGAAGAAGAGGCTAGTGCGGCCCTCCGAGGGGCTTTTAAAGCTCCTTTGGAGCTGACCGTCCACCTTCCACTAGCCTCTAGGCTTGGGCTGTCCGCCGGGGCTGGGGCTAGAACTAGGGACACGGTGATGCCCACAGGCCATCTGGGCGTTTTAGTTGCACCGGGAGCGACGATAACCCCACCCTAAATCATTCTAACTCCACCCCCAAATGTTCTAGCCCCACCCCAGGGATCCCAATCCCCACCCACCTCCCAGGATCCTTATCCCGCCGCCTAAAGATTTGCTACCACTCACACGAGGTTTCTAATCCTACCCCCAAGGATTCTAACCTAGTCCCTGATGGATAATAACCCCGCCCCCAAGAATATTAACCTCTCCCCAAAGATCCTGAGCCTATCACCCTCCCCTAAATATTCTAACCCCTCTCCTAATGACTTCAAATTCTGCCTCCCCACGCGCTAACCTTGTCCCCAAAGGGATTAAACCCCCCCTCCAGGATTTTAACCCGCACCCACCCCCTCCTCCCCAAATTCCAACTGTGCCCCACTGATTTTGAATCACACATTTGAAGGATCTTTAACCTCGCCCGTTAAAGGTCTCTAACCCTGCCTCAGGGATTATAATCCGGCCAGCCAAAGGATCCTACCCGAGGGACATTGTAATACTGTACTGTCAACAATAAATTAAGGAAAAAAAAAAAAAAAAAAAAGATGTATAACCCTAACCCCGGACTTCTAGACCTGCCCCTAAGTGACCCCAGCCTTGCTCCCAAAGGATTTGAATCCGCGCCTCAAGATTCTAATCTGTTGTTCCATTTTGAGATTCCAGCCCTGTTCTCCAGGGACCCCAGATTCTAACCCCACTCTCCCAGGATTCTCGTCACCCCTATCCCCAGCATTCTGATCCGTTTCCCCCATCCTTCCAACCTTGTGCTTCTAGCCAGGCCCCTCCCCCTCGCCGCGTCCTGAACCTTCCAGGCCCTTCGGTTTCGCTCAACAGGACCCGCGCTATTCAAACTCCCGGCAAAGTTCCTCGCCCGCAGGAACCGCCCGGGCTCATTCCTGGTGGGTTTCCCGGCAATTCAGAAGACTTGGAAAAAGGAGAGGGCGGGGAAGTCCGGCCTCAAGGAAGCCACATGCAGGTTCTGGGGACATGAGACGGTCATCGTCAGCATCAGTTGTATCTTTTCCCACAAGTTAGCTATTGTGATAATAAAGAACCATAGATAGCAGAAGCATTCTTCTGGTAACAGCCAATCTCTGTCCTTGCCTTTTTTTTTTTTTTGCTATTAAAGTAATGTTGCAATATAAATCCTTGTATATGTTCCCAAAGCTTCTAACAACTGTACTGTGGAGTGCTTTTATAAATAAAATGCACCATTATAAATCTTCATCTTGATACGTCGGCCTGCGGTCCAGAGAGACCCGGGCTCTGTTCCCGCTAAGGGCAGGTACCTCAGTTGCAGTTTGTCCCCAGCCCTGGTTGGGTCGCACACTCAGTGTGTCCCTTTTACGTCAATGTTTCTCTCTCTCTCTCTCTCTCTCTCTCTCCCTCCCACTCGATCTGAACAAAAAATGGAAAAATGTCCTCGGGTGAGGATAAAAAATAATAAATGAATACATACATACATGCATACATACTCATCTTGATACGTTTTGGCAAATGCATACCCCTGTGTAACCACCACCATATATTAGCAGCAAAGAATATGTATACAATTACAAATTTTATCCTAATACACTGCCTTACCAGTACTTGAGGTGGCAAACATTTCGTTCGTTCATTCATTCATTCATTGTCATGGGGAATATAGCTGATCACAAGAAGTTGTGCTAAATGCTGCATCTTTGGAGTCAGACTAGAGTTCAAACCCTGCTACTACCCTATATATGCTGAGTGATAGTGCACAAATCATGTCACCTCTCTAACCTCAGTTTCCTCATCTGTTAAATGGGAATAATAATAGTGTTTACCTAAGGGAGTCATTGTGAGCATCAACTAGCATCTTATGTCCAAGGATGATAAGTATTGTAAGAAAAATAAAGCAGGGCAAGGTGGGAGAGAGTGGGGGTGGGAGGAGAGTGATGGTGTGACTTGAGACAGTAGTCAGGGAAGACCTCTCTGAAGAAGTATTTGAGCAGAGACCTGATGAATTGATGGAGTAAGTCATGTGATAATCTGAGGGAAGTGTGTTCCATGTAGATGGAATAGTAACAGCAAAGGTCCTGAGGTGCCACTGCACTTGTTGTATTTAAGGAATACAAAGAGGCCAGTGTAGCCGAAACAGAGTGGGTACATGGGAGAGTGATGGAGATGATGTTGGAGAGGTAGTGGGGCCATATTGTGAGTCCACAAATGTCTTGGTATTGATAGTATACTTGAAGTGACACGAGATGGGAGCCATTAAAGGATTTTGAGCAGAGGAGTAAGCCACACATGGTTTGTGTTTTAATGGGATCTCTGCTGGGTGGAGAATGGATTGGAGGGGCCTGGGGGAAGCAGGGAACCCAGTGAACAGGCTGAGGCAGTCATCGAAGGTCAAGATGTTGGTGGCATCAGCTGGGGTGGTGGCAAATGACAATTTTAAGAGCTCAGAGAGAGAGAAAAGATCAGAATGCCTGAGACTTCATGAGTATGTACAAGGAGAGTCATTGCAGCACTGATTTTACTAGGCAAGGACTAGAAATAACCTAAATATCTACCACTTGGGGATTGGGAAAATAATGATAATATAATAATGGGTACCAAGCACTTCCCAAAAAATACAAGGATGTTTAAAAACTAATTGTATTTCTAGACATTAGCAATGAACAATTTGAAAATAAAGTTAAGAAAATTTCATTTATAGTTTCACCAAACAGAATAAAATACTTGACTAATGAACACAGACAACAGTCCCGTGAAGGCTGGGGGTGGGGAGGGAGCTGGGAGGAGGGTGTCAATGGGGGAAAAAGGAGGGACACCTGTAATACTTTGAACAGTAAAGATACATTTTTAAAAAGAATAAAATAGCCCTGGCCGGTTTGGCTCAGCAGTTAGAGCATCGGCCTGCTGTCCAGAGAGACCCAGGTTCGGTTCCCGCTAAGGGCACATACCTTGGTTGCAGTTAGTCCCCGGCCCTGGTTGGGTCGTGTGGGTGGCAGCCACTCGATGTGTCCCTTTCACATTGATATTTCTTTCTCTCTCTCTCTCTCTCTCTCTCTCTCTCTCTCTCTCTCCCCCTCCCTCCCTCCCTCTCATTCTATCTGAACAAAAAATGGAAGAAATGTCCTCGGGTGAGGATTAAAAAAAAAAAGAATAAAATACTTGAGAATAAACTTAACAAAAAAAATAAATAAATAAATGCAAGGTATTCTGAAAACTAAAACAACATTTTCGAAAGAAACTTAAGAAGACCAAAATAAAGTTATCTCATAGAATAAGAAAGACATCTCATGGTAAAGACATCCCTTCATGGAGTGGAAGACTTAATATTGCTAAGATGAAGATACTGCCCAAATTGATTGACAGAATTCCCATAAAAACTCCAGATATCTTTTTTTCTTTATTGATTTTAGAGAGAGAGGGAGAGGGAGAGAGAGAGATAAACATCAATAGGAGAGAAAATCTATTGGCCACCTCCTGTATGCCCTCACTGGGGATTTGGCCCACAACCTGCTCATGTGCCCTGACAGGGAATAGAACCGGCGACCTCTTAGTACATGAGTTGATGCTCAACCCCTGAGCCACACCAACTGGGCCAGATATCTTTTTTTTTTAAAATACACAATCTTATCCCAAAATTCATATGGAAGTGCAAGGAACCCAGAACAGCCAAAACAATCCTGAAAGAGTAAAATAAAGTTGGAGGACTCACACTTCCTCATTTCTAACTTACTTTAAAGCCGCAGTAATCAAGCCCTGGCTGGTTTGGCTCAGTGGTTAGAGTGTCGGTCTGTGGACCAGAGAGTCCTGGGTTTAGTTCCTGCTAAGGGCATGTACCTCGGTTGCAGTTTGTCCCTGGCCCTGGTTGGGGTCGTGTGGGTGGCAGTCACTTGATGTGTCTTTCTCGTGTTAATGTTTCTCTCTCTCTCTCCCTCCCGCTCTATCTGAACAAATATCAACAACAACAACAACAAAATGTCTTCAGGTGAGGATTAAAAAAAAAAGAAAGAAAGAAAAGACTCACAGAATGAGAGAAAATATTTTCAAATCATAGATCTGATAAGAGATTGGTAACCGGAATATATAAATAACAAAACTGCATAATAAAAAGACAACATAATTGAAAATTGGGCAAAAGATCTGAATAGACATTTCTCCAAAAAAGCTATACAAATAGCTAATATTAGCGCATGAAAAGATGTTTACTATTATTAGTCATTAGGGAAATATAAATTAAAACCATAATGAGATGCTACTTCACATCTATTAGAATAGCTATACTAAAAAAGACAGCCCTGCCAGTTAGAGTGTTGCCCTGAGATGCCAAGGTTGTGAGTTTGATCCCTGGTCAGGGCACACACACAAATCAACCAATGAATGAATAAATGGGTGGAACAACCAACTGATACTTCTCTCTCTCTCTCTCTCTGCCTTCCTTTTCCTCTCTCTAAAAATCAATAATAAAAAAGAGAAAATAACAAGTGTTGATGAAAATATGAAGAGATTAGAACCCTCATACACTGCTGGTGGGAATGTAAAATAGTGCAGCCCCTTTGGAAAAGTTTGGCAGATCCTCAAAAGGTTAAACATGGAGTTACCATACGACCCAGCAATCCTACTCCTAGGTACATACCCAAAAGAATTAAAAAATATGTCTACAGAAAAATTTGTATGTGAAAACTTCATAGCAGCATTATTGATTAGAAACCGAAAAGTGGAAACAACTCCAATGTCCACCAACGAATAAGTAAAATATGGCCTATCCATACAATGAAATATTATTTGGCAATAAAGGACTATGAAGTACTGATGTACGCTACAACATGGATGAACATTAAAAATGTTATGTGAAATGAAAGAAGCCAGTCACAGAAGATCACATATTGTATGATTCCATTTATACAAACTGTCCCGAATAGGCAAGTCTACAGAAACAGAAAGTAGATTAGTGGTTGCTTAGGGCTGGGGGTTGGGAAGAAATAAGAAGTGGCTACTAATGGGT